GACTCTCTTCTTCAGCTGTCCTCACAGCTATCGTGAGGACACGTCCCTTCCTGGACTTAATTCCTGCCTCCCGATGAAGTCCCTCAGGGCACGAGCCATTACCTCTATCCCAGAGCTTTCTGCCTTCAACTCCTTTCTCTGATTTTCCGATCTTACACGCCTCTTCTGGACTCGCAGCTGGATCGGTCTCCTGATTGAGAGGTTCCGTGATGCCTCTAAAGGCTCAGGCATCCCTGAGCTGCTTCTGCTTATACCTTTTCCTACGGAGTTTCTCTCCTGAGGTTTTTCCTCGTCTCTGGCTGGCGTCTTCTGGTTGGACCATGGGTAAATTTTGCGAGGAATCTTCTTGACTGACCCCAGGTCACGTCAGTTAATATTTTTGCATTTTCCTAGTTGACGGTGTGTTTCTTAGTGTTCAAATGCCTTTCTATCTTTGTCATATAAACACTTTTTATCTTAGTCTCACAGCACGTGCAGAATGCAAATCGGTTTTTTAATTATGACGCTGTTAAGACAAAAAACACTTGGCAGGGTGTTTATTTGTTGCGTTAACATTCACATTCTCTTCTCTCCAAAGTTTTCTCATGGGGGATTATTTTTTTTGTTTNTCTGGTTGGACCATGGGTAAATTTTGCGAGGAATCTTCTTGACTGACCCCAGGTCACGTCAGTTAATATTTTTGCATTTTCCTAGTTGACGGTGTGTTTCTTAGTGTTCAAATGCCTTTCTATCTTTGTCATATAAACACTTTTTATCTTAGTCTCACAGCACGTGCAGAATGCAAATCGGTTTTTTAATTATGACGCTGTTAAGACAAAAAACACTTGGCAGGGTGTTTATTTGTTGCGTTAACATTCACATTCTCTTCTCTCCAAAGTTTTCTCATGGGGGATTATTTTTTTTGTTTTTTGACATTTTTTCATTGGCACCCAAATATAACATACTGTGTTCAATAGTTAGCCTATTTGGTTTGTTTCGTGACTTGATTTTACGTTATTTGTTTTAAAAACATTTCAAAGAAAAATGTTTTTCCTGGTTGCCCTACTAATGGTGCTCAATGATTCCAACTAATGACCAGTGACTATTGGTGAAAGGCCTTTTCATTGTTTTTATGCACTCAGACGAGCTATTAATTGCAAGTTCACGCTCTCCATTGGGATAAATAGGTAACAATTTCTCACATGCTTCCACAAAGACTAATCTACTTTTCCTTATGTCATCAGGAAAACCTTTGCAGACATCATAAAGCACACTACCTTCAACAACAAATTCATTTATCCCTACATCAGCGATTGCTCTGCTTGGATGATCAGGAGGTATTGCTTTACATGCTTCTTCTTTTTCTCTCTTGCTGTCATCCTATCAATTTGAACATTGTTTTCATTTTCAGTATTTATTTTGTTGCCAGTTGGTAAAGTCTCGAGTCGTCTTTCATAAATTTCAAAGTTCTTTGGTTCATCTGAAAACTTCTTCTGCATTTGAGGGGTGAAAAATGTAATCAAAAACAACAGGAAGAATAGACAAGAAACTTCACTGTGTAGAGCTTATAACATTTAAAAGGTCGGTGTATGCATATTACTGGTCATTATATATGTTTAAGACTCTACAGTCATCTAGATTCCTATACAAAACATGATAGACTCAACTCTTTTCCCTTATGAGTCTTTGAGATAACAGAATAGTAAATGAAATAAACATATTCAACTCCAATTTTATTATTTTATCCATAATAAATATCAGCAAGTGCACTAATTTGTTCAACTGTACGGAATCTATAGTATACGTGCAGCAAATACTTGTATAGTGTTGTAAATTCATCTTTTCAATATCAAATTTTGCTGCAAATATATTTACACGGCTATTTTCTTCCTCATGTGCTGCTTTGTTTTTCCTTGCATACAGGTTCTGAAACTGGCTGGCTTGAGGCATGTAAAAACGCATGGTAAATCATATGATTCAGTGAATTTCCTTGCAAAAAGCGACCAAACTTGTTATTTCCTAGTAATACAGTAAAAAATACCTGCTCAATAAATGATACTTGCTTCCTTCGTGGAAATTCATCCACCCAACTACCACAGAAAAAATAATGCCCAGGGAACTCTTGAATGTAGTGCCTATATAATTCATGTGCATCATTTGCGAATGGTCGTTGACATTCACCAAAAGTATTCTATAAAAATCATAATCCTATGTTTTGACCTGTACTGTCGTGCATACTTGAAACACAGCCCAATCGAAATGAAGTGTATACATTCACGCCTTCCAAATGTGCATTTGAAAAACTATTCTTCAAGAAGATTAGCTTACATCGGTTTGAAACACGTTAACAGAAGAATCGAAATAAATACCTGTTACTGTTGTATGGAACTATTTTTCATCAAATGGTGTTTCGTATTCTGTTATTTTTTCGTAGTACATGCTTCAATGAGAATAGAAGCGTTCAATACAATTAGCAATGCACGTAATTGATTATGTTGGTTATTGAAGATAACATGAAACAGTCAAACTTTATGTTTCGGTGAGATATTAAAAGGGCAGAGATCAATATGAATCAATAAATAAAGGTTGAAAATAGATAAACGTGTATAGAAGAGTGGCTTTTTTCTGCCCACACATACGTAAATTCTGATAACCTTTAAAAGGTATTTTGCAAACCCATGTGAATATCAATTTTCACTTTCCCAGACAATCAATGCATTATTTGTTTATAGCTTTCAATACACAATAATAACATAAATTAATGCAACAAAACCTTTACTTATGAAAATTTCATGCTTTTTATACGCTTTCTATTTATTTTTTGCTTATTACTTACGTAAACCGTGTAAGAGATGTGGTATCAGGTAATTTAAATGAGATCTAATATAGTGGTGTGGTTAATTGCGCCAATATTTTTTTCATGAATCAAGTGCCCTAACAAATATTATTGAAAACTAAGATAAAACATGTTACTTTTAACCAATATTATACATACTATATACTCGCTAAGGCGGGAAATTGAGAGGATCAATTGCGCCAAATTCTACATGCATTGCAACGCTCTAAGATAGCTACATCGTATGCATAATTATATCAATATACACTAGGAAGAGCATAATAAAAGCATATTTAACTCATTATTTATTTCCTTATCAAATTGCATCAGAATTAGCTTTTTCTAGACGCTTTAAGCGACCAGGCATTGAGATGAAATGGCGTCGAATTTCTGTAGGTTTCACTCTTGATACTTCATCAGATAACACTCTCCACAGATCAGCCTTATTTTGTATTTCGTGTTGCCTCAGGTTAACTCTTCTTTTGAGCCATGCCCACACGTTTTCAATGGGGTTGAGATCAGGGGATTGTGGTGGATGCATCCCAAGCTTAATATTCTGGTCTTTAAACCATTTAATAGTTTTTACTGACTGCTGTGACCGGGGGAACTTCCGTAAGGTGAATTATTTATTTCCTTGTAACCACCTTCGTCGGCCGAGTCTTCCTCACTCGCCGGTTCTGCCGTCATTACGGCAATAGTCAGGATCTGCCCTTTCTGGCTCCTGATCCCTGCTTCTCGATGAAGCTCTGCAAGGGCTCTTGCCATCAGTTCCGCTCCACGGCTGCCTTGCTTCTTGACTTCATTCCTAATCCAATTTCCTTGGGATTTGCTGAATAACTCTCCTCCGAGTTTTTTGCTACTAGTCTGTTCCACGGTGGAACTGCCTTCCTCTAGGCTCACCGGAACTAGTGCTGCTTCCACGGCCTTACGCGCCTTCACCTGGCTTGCCGGTACTGGTCTTGCCTCTTCCTGGTCGGACTTAGGGGGCTTCTCATGAGCCGCTGCCGATGATATTAATGGTTAATGGTTCCTGCTTCTGCTCCTGGCCAGGGACTCCCCTAAATGCGCGGGCGTCCCTCAGCTGGCGGGCCTTGTATCGTTTCCTGCGGCGCTTCTCGCCCTCGGACTTGCCCACTCGCTGGGATGCATCTTCTGGCCATACCATTGGGGTAACTTTTTGGAAGGAATCCTTGACGGACCTCAGGTCACGTCAACTGACTTATGACGACTTGCATTATCTTGCACAAAGGTCATTTTTTTCAAGTCAATGCCAGAGGCAATCAGGTCATCAAGAACATTCTCCCGCGGTACCACTTCATTTCGTCCATGAGAAGGGTTAAAAAATAAACAATATTCTGAATGATGAATTTATGGAGATTTTCAGAGATCCTCTGATACCTCTTGTTCCTCTTCAGGTTTTCACCGATCATTAGGCGCTGATACTTCTGCCTGATCTTCTCTTTCTCTTCAATCAACTGCTTGACGAAGCTTCGTGGTGTTTTATTCAGTCTGCCGAACGAAGATTTGAAGACATTATTCGTGCGAGGAAGTTGCTCTGGCACATTGAGATGATTCCATTTAAGCCATTCAAAGCTTGCGCATACCTCTTAACAACCAGATTGGTCGTATACTCAGAGGCAAAGCAAGATGAGTCAAGCTTCCTCTGAACACTTTGTGCCAGATGAAACATACAGCCAATCATTCTAGCATTGGGAAATACTGTTGAGAATGCTATAATAGCTGTCATCTCAAAGATTGACCATGTACTGGCAGCTCTAAGTGGTTCTATCATGTTTTCAGCGAAGAAAACAATGATATTGGTAGAGTCTACTATATCACGAGTGTTATTCGGGCCAAACTGGTAGAATCTCTTACCACCCACCGTTAACATTAGGTCTTCACCTATGTTCAGTACAGGTTCAACAACATCGTTGCGATCGACAGAATCTCTTCTCTTACGATTTACCAACTGTACTAGGCTATCGTAGGTCCCAGCTGCTGCAATCACATCCTGATTGTGACCTATCAATGCTTCATGAATGATATCACGAGCTGAATCATCGGCCAAGACAGCTTTTTGGGCTATCTGTTGTCTCACAACCTTTCCCGGATATTAAGAACATATAAAGGTGTCTTTACCGTCGCTCTACACGACCTAGCCGTGCACCTCTACGTTACTTCGCACTTACCCCTGTGCTTCAACGTGTAGGTGTGCCATGGAGGATCAATTCCATGCCACCTCTTGAATTAGGTAGAATTGTGAACATTAAGGGTAAATTCAAGTGAAAAATTTTTACACCCTTCTCGTGGACGAAATGAATCACCTGGCAAAACCAACTCTCTTCTCCTTATGAGTAAATATTAAGCCAGGTTTCTTCTTCAGCACGGTTGGCTTGAGATTGTCAATGATCATTCCTATCATACAGTTAGAAAGTATCTTCCTACGGCCAGATGCCCTTTTAGTGCCATAAGAGGCTGGGCTCTGTAGGAATCGCCACACCGTAACCACACTTCTCCTGATTTTGGCAGCTATAGCCTTATTATACCACTCTTCTGCCTTCAGGACCTTGATCGTAGTGATCTCAGCTTCTGATAACGTTGAACGCTGACTCATGGCTTAAAACAATCCGAAATGCTTAAAATAAATGCGAGGGAAACTCATTATTTACTGATACACTCATTTAACAGAACAATGTGACAACCATGAACGCAAGAAATACAAAAAAACTACGGATAATATCGGGGTAAACAAATTAGCAATGTATATGAGAGTATATGCTTGGGGATAGAACGACTTCTAGAGGTTTCCCCAGTGTGTGCAAATTCAAAGATTTTTGAGGAATATGCAATAAGGTTTAAGCAACGTGGAATTATGCTTCGATACAAAAAACTAGTGTGTAATTTTTTAGTTGGGAATTAGCAACATAGCAATACAAACGAACAAACCATATTGGAGTCAAGAAAAAAACAGATAATCCAGGAACAGTTACCTGAAAAAGTTGCAAAAGCTTTTTTGGAGGCGGATATACCGCTTAAAAAAGCTTCGAATTCCTGCCATAAAGCAGTTATTCCAGTCAAGGGGCTTCATATGCCCTGCAGAGAGCACCATCAGAAGATTTGTTGATAAGATGAACAATGAGATGAACATGCAGATAAAGAGTCATTTATATAACAAATCGCTCTCTCTGATGTTTGATGGGTCTTGTAAAGCTGATCTCCACTATATTAATATCATGGCAGGTGATATTGAGGATCCAAGCAAGAAATATCTGATAAATCAGAATTTATTGATGTTAAGACGAAAATATCAGACGGAGCGCCATATAACACCAAATTGAAGAAATTGATCAAACGTCAAGAAAGATCAATAGTATTCATAACGTGTTTCATGCATCTTCTGCATAACTGTGCAATGAAGATACGACAAACATACCAATTAACCGATCAATTTGTTGCATTTGTAAAAGAAATTACAGTCAGATGCAATAAATATCGTGATTTAATTGAGTTTGTAGGTAAACCACCTTCTGTTGTGGTAACCAGATGGAATACGTGGCTAGAATGTGCCATATGGTATTATTCGAATTACTCTGGGGTTAATAATTTTTTAGGGAAAAATTGAAAAATGATGAGAAAGTGAAATCAGCAAGAATAATCAGCCTTTTAAATAATCCAAATCTGTATCAGGAACTGCAGATAATTGCCTCTTGCTACCAGAATCTGTGGCATACAACAAAGAATTGCTTGGATCAAAATTTATCCGTTGTGCAAGCACATATGATCTATAAGAATTTAAAATTCAATGATGATCCTGTGCAATTAACAAAATACATCAATAAGCGTCTTATGACGAATGATTTACTGTGTTTCTGGAATGCCCCCGCTGACACGATCGATGAAAAAATTCACTCTGCTCTCTCCCATTGCCCAGCTACAACAATTTGTGTTGAGAGAAGTTTTAGTATGTTGAACAAGACATTAGCACATGATCGTAACTTCAAATCAAGTAACATAGTGAGTTACCTGAAGCCAAGAATAAACAAATAAAAACTCATCCAATCTAGTTATATTTTTATTCTTGTGAAGTAATTCAAAAAAGCCCTATACAACTTTTCTCGTTAAACGTTTTCATCCACTTTTCACCAGACTTCCTGCTATATTCAGTGACATAAATTCCACTATTTTTATAGGGGGATTTTTCTATAGTGATGTACAGGTAATGCCAAGGAAAACCCCAGGGTGGTAAAAATTATGTTGTGCAATGATTACCTAGGTTTATAAAACGTTTAACCAGGAAATATATGAAACTACAACTATAGCCGGTTTGTTTACATTTGGAAGAGAAAAATAAAGTAATGGTGTGAGTACTATATTATTCACTGGCTTGCTCATAGAGCATATATTTCGTTTAGCAGTAGACTGCATATCGTAATATTGTGTATATAACTTACAGTATTCACCAACCTTGATTTTTTATTTGTTTACTGGGTCACCCTAGTCATGATCGATTTTCCGACTCAAAAACCACATCCGGAAATATCCGGATTTATTTATTATTTCAAAAATTCTATGGGAGTAATGAATATTTTTAAACGGTGTTTTGACACTTAAATGTGTCCAAAGAAAGAATTAAACAGAACCAACATGACAGAAGCAGAAATCAAAAAACTAATCGAAATTCGCAATAGGAACGACGTGAATGAGGCATACAAAGAGACAGATGGGAAAAAGAAGCTGAGAGGCAAATTGTGGAATAAAGTGGCTTCTGAAATTTGTCCTTCTCTTGATTCTGATGCTGTTAGAAAGCGATACAATACGCTCTTCAGAGAATACAAGTTGCAAAGGCACAAAGCTCTCGAATCTGGTGGTGCTCACCAAGGTGGAAGTATTACAACTTGTTCTTTGAAAACATTAAGAATGAAAAAGAGATGTACATGGAGAATGTACAGGAATTAGGAGATCCAGAGAACCCATATCCTCCTTATATGGAGTTTACTGAAAAGATCTAAATCAATTAGAAATGAGCATGTTAGGAAGCATTTAATGCAATAATTAAAGTTATGATTAGTTAATAAGAGAGGAGAATAAAGATATTGATCGATTGATTGTTGTATATTATGAATGGCCATTGGTGATTTGATCATATCTATGTAGATATCAGTAGATTCCAGAATCACCAACAACATAAAAACCACTATTATTTATTGCTTCAATCTTCCTCCATAATCTTGAAATTCTATAAATCCAACTATCATGTGATGATCCACATCCGTAAGTTGCTCCGCGAAAGCGCAGCTTATAATCAACTACACAAACAACAGTAATTGAAAACTTTTGCTTTCTATTGTAATAATCAAAACCTCTTCTTATTGGTTTTGTTGTGGAGCAGAAAAACCATCAGCAAGGACATTATACTCTGCTTCCGATGGGAACTTAACCATTTCTGCTACCCACCCCGATAAAACAGTGTACATTTCTCTTATGTATTCATGTACCGTACTTTTAGGTAACCCAAAAACTTCTCTTATGGCCCTGTAGCTCGTTTGATGAGCTATAAACCAAATAAAAAGTGCTAACTTACACTTTAATTCCTTTACTTTAACTGTTTCATTCAATACAGAAAAGTTTCCGACAACACTCCTTTGACGTCCTAAAGTTTTCATTAAACTGTGTTTCATTTGATTCCAGAATGTCTTTGCGATACTTATGTGTATAATAATACCATCTCCTCGTTCTAGATGTCATTAGAGCATTCACAGAGAGTAACACAAACAACCAAGTTAACATAAGGGTAATTCAGATAAAATTTTCTTAACCAGTGCCCGTAAGCTTGGTCATCAGTTATATTTCCCAAACGATATCCAGTTACAATAAATACCGGAGAACCAAGACAGTCTAACTTAAATTGATTCTACCGCGGTAAGTTTTGATCAATCTTTATTATTCTGATTCAACAATTCCATATACAAGTGTCTTTATTAAATACATAATCAATTTTGAGGCACGCATACCTAAACTCCACCATCACTTCTACACAAAATATTTTCAAATCAGGGTTAAAACTTTTACCCCTTTTAAATTAAATTATTTGCAACGGTCCAATTTATGTACGTGCATATTAAAGGCATTCCTATTCTTATGACTGACGACAGTTGATAGTAAAGGTTACCTGTATAAATCCCATGTTGGGAACAAAAAGGTAAAAGAATTAATGAAAATTTAACCCGAATGGTTGACGAACCTAATCAGAAGGAGAGTAACGTGAAGCCTCCCGGAACCCCAAAACTAGGGAAGAGCCCCGGCGAGAAGAGGCGTAGGAAAACGTACAAGAGAAGAAGCCCGTAAGGCGTATGATGCAGTGGAGGATATTGCGACTGCAATCAATAAATATGTTGATGCAAAAACAGGGCATACTAAAAGTGAACGTCCCATCCCTTATCATTAGCCTGACGGTCAGGGCAAAAAGCTTTAGAAACAGTAACTGCTACAACCGCACCGGAAGAGAAAACTAGACTCAATGTTGCTATCCCGTTTCAGGTACGTGAAAATGCAAATTGTATCAGTTTGCACAACAAACCATTTTGTACAAAAATCAGCTCTTCAAAATCAATGATGCAACATTGATGAAGGCTGAGATCAACGACGAAAACGTTGATGTTTTGATAAAAAAAGTCAAAATTGCTCCTTGCCGTTGACCAGGAGACGTATTATAAGTTATGGAAAACACTACATTACTCGAACACCGATGGTCATAATGTTATTGTAGCGTCCTATACCAAGCTAAACAGTCATTATTGTTGATCCGTTAAAAAAAGGTCGATAGGTTCATTGACGATAAGTGTGATGGTTGGAATGATCACTCAGAAGCTTGTATGTATTCATACAGAACAACCAAATACACCACTACTGGTTTCTCTCCTTTCCAGATGCTGTTTAAACAGCAACCATTAACTCCTCTTGAGTTGGTGGTGTCGGTCAATATTGATCAGTCTTTACCTGAAACTGATATTGACTATGGTTCTGATGACCTGAAAGCCAGTATGACAAACAAGCACTACTATGACAGACGTCAAGGTGTCTGTGATCAGTTTGAGGTAGGTTAATTGGTCCTTAAGCTAAACCAGGCTAAGGATAAGAAATTGGAGTCAAATTGGCTTCCGATTGTCTTTGAAGTCACCAGGAAAAAGATGATTGCTCTGAACGGACTTAAGGAATAATAAGATGGTTTATTTACTGAATTGTTCCTCTTCGGACTCTTTTGTTGCTTTTCTGACTGGCTGATTACCTTTTCCCTATGGTCTTACTGTACCTGCCGCTTCCTTTTGCGTCTTAGGGGCTTTTGCATCGCTCCTTATAGGCTTTCCTCCTCTTTTCCCCTGGAGTCTTTCCCGTCCTAACCGGCATTGGGTCTTCGGATCATTGCTGTATGTTTCACTAAACATAGGTTTTTTAATTAACAAATTCTGTGAAGAAATTTCACTCGTCGGATTAAATAACGACAGATAAGTTTACTGGGTTGCTTTAATTTAACGCAGATAGTTACAGCTGCTCGGTAGATACCTGGTTGACCCAAGAATTGGTTAAATTGTTGGATTTACTCACTAGAACGATGGGTTCCTTTGTTCTGTTTCTCTACTGTGTTAGCAAATAAAATCTACTGATTAAGCGTTCTTATTGCCTTTAGACGAATTATATACCATTCAGGCAATAAAAACAGACTTTATCAAAAAACCTTACAGAAACCTTAATTCAATTAAAATTTAAAACTAATGCTGCATTAGCTGGTGTTATGCACTCGGCACAATCATCATGCTCGCCTATTAGTAACACGTTTTGTATTGAATCCTTTTGTGTTGCTTCAAAAATTCGCTTCAAATCATGTTCATTTGTACAATCTAAGTCCCCGTACACTCCATTCTTAAGTTGTCTATAAATAAACTTGAACTTAAGTTGTTCTGATTTGTCAAGCATCATGTCATTCAACCTCTTTTTGAAAAAATTGTAGTTGGTCATCGTAGTTCTAATGGTCCAATTTGTGCATGTGTTAACAAAATTCGAAATCTTAATCAAGAAGTCGAGTGGGCCATATTGAATAAAGTGCTTTGAGAAGATAATTACTCCTCCTGGTTTGAAAGTCTCAATAGCGTTGCCATTTTGTTCGACCTTGTAGAATTTTCTACGGGGATTTTTGATAAACTTGTTGCAGAATATTTGATGCAATATTCCTGCATAAATATCCTGAACAATTATTGTGTCTGCTTTGTTGATATCCATTGTTATATTGGCTGCTTTTCCCATCAGGTTCAAAAGTCTTAAACCGCGGTACGTATTTTTGGTCAATAATCCATAGTTCAATTTCTCCTGCATCAAGGCATCTACATCTGCAAATAAACTCGTTTCATAAAGCAATGGGTATGCTTTGAAAGAATTGTCAACAAAAGCGCGTGTTTTGATTTCTTCACCCAATGTAAAGTTCTTTGCCTGTAACTTGTTATTCTGTTGAACTCTAAACAAGATTCCCTTGTCTTTGAAATCAACATTTCCTAAAAACGTGTCACTTTCAACAGGGTAATAGAAAACCCAGATTGAATTTTTTGCATGCAAGCACATTGCAAGATTGTTTTCTGTTAAATATTGCTTGAAATCTTGCTCAATTTCTCCTATACAGCTATAATCAAATGTGAAAATGCTATTTTCACTCTTCTTGATTGCAGCCCGTGCATATGTGACGATTTTACTCTTTGCAATAAAAATACAATCTGAAATCTGGAATTCAAACGTCTTAAAGCGTTCATACCAATAGAATGTGAATCGTATGGAAGTCGATTCTGTTATTCTAAGTGTAATGGAGTTACCAATTTCTTCAGCGACTATTTTTCTGTTATCTACTGCAACCTCTTTAGTTTCTTGTCTAGTAATCATGGGTTGCTGTTTCTCTTTTCCAAATTTACCATTAGCTGTAGTTGAAAGTTTTGCTTTCTTTATCATTTCTTCTTTGAACAACTTTTGTTGTTCAATCTCTTTTTCATCTTCTTCATTTTTACGTTTCGTTCTCAAAAGCTTAAGAGCATTCCTTACAAAATCCATGATAGCCATTTTGTTGCTCAAATTAGAAAGCCTTGTCCAGGATTCTGTATTGTCAAGCCACTTTACATAGAAATAAATGTCATCATTAGCACATTTATACATCAATATTGCCTTTTCAGTTGTGCTCTTCTTTGACATGGGGGTAAACTCAGAAGCAAAATTTTCAATTGCTGTTGTTGAAAGTTTTGATGCGACCAAGAATATGCTTTGATTTACAAACAAAATTGTTATGTTCATCTTCTAAGGCTTTTTGCTCTTCTTCATTGTAAGCATTTATTCAATAAACCTTGCTATTTCTACTTAATATTTTACTTCTTGACAGGTTGATATGATATACATCAGATATCATAATCACATAACAACAATATGTATAATATTGAAAACCTTCAACGGCTGTGATCTAAAATTAGATCAATTTTATTGATAGAAACTAACGCCCCTATCCTTATTGTTTTATAAAAGACGTTATTTTGGCACAGTATGTTATATGCAATTCTCATGTTAAAGTTTCCTATCTCAATCTATCAAAAATGAATGTAGAATGGAATATTCGTGTATGTGCAACTAGACTCAGCCATGTAAGACAATATAAACAAGAATCCGGTGTCTGATTAATCAATTTTACCTGATTTTTGGCATAAATAATAAAAAATCACTATATTTTTATTTTAGAATTTTTGACTGTACATCATGGACTAACAATGGATGAAAATGACTTAAGGTTTGTGTTTGGATAGCCCGCTACGCTCCTATTGTTTAGGTGTGTTTCGAACAACGATTTGTTCGAGTAATTTAATGCTGTTTTTATTCTCAGTATCTGAAAGATAGGTACATTTTTAGATGAGATAAAACCCTTTGTATTAGCGGTGGTCTAACATCCACATTTACCTTATTTTGTCTGTCAATTAATTTGTATTGCTCTTTTACATAAACATAAAATAGTTCTTGTCACTATTGTGTATTGTACAATTTCTTAGCAACAACCACCGCCTTTCTTTTTCTCAACCAATTGCAGTTCCTCACCTTTCAAATGTTCTTGTCTTGCATATCGCTTATTCTTCATACTATTCTTCCCTTTCTCTTTCTGATATATTTTTTCTACAAATTCCTCAAATGCCTTATCAATATTTTCTCCTGTACAAGCCGATGTTTCATAAAAGCTACATTTGTTGCTCATCGCACCATCTCTTCCTATTTCCATCTTTACAGCACGACTTTTCCCCAAATCGCTCTTGTTTCCTACCAACATTATTGGAATATCACTATTGCATGATTTTTTGATATTCGGTAACCAGATTTCAGTTGCATTTTTGAATGATGCCTTATCAGTGATGTCATATACAACAATTGCTCCACATGCTCCTCTATAATATGCTGAAATGATTGCGTGATATCGTTCCTGACCAGCTGTATCCCAAATCTGCGTCTTTATTTTGCAGTCCTCAAACTCGTAGTATTTTGTTCCAAATTCAACACCTATAGTTGGCTTTGATCCTTCTAGAAACTTCTTTGATACAAGCTGACTCAACATGTTCGTTTTGCCTACATTTGTGTCTCCAACCAATACAACCTTAAAAAGATAGTTGAAGTTCTCTTTCTTTGTTGTCATACTTCCTTTACTGTTTTAGATATTTAACACGCTTGAAACACGTCGTGTGCGTGAATGAAAATGAATTGCAACTCAATAAATCGCCCTCTCTTTTAATCCCCAGAATGTTTCTCAGGAATGTTTTGCAAAAGATTCACTCAAACGAAGTAGTGTCTGAATTTGAGATAAACATCATATGCAAACAGATGACTAAAATAGCAATACAGGAGCCAAACATCCCATTCGTGTCCTCACCAGTCTGTGTTCTTGGAGATATACACGGTCAATATTCTGATTTAGTACAGTTGCTAGAACTGGTCGAGAAGCCAGGAGAATGCACCTATGTTTTCCTAGGTGACTACGTGGACAGGGGCCCCAATTCAATTAGCGTAGTTCTGCTGCTTTTTTGCTACAAAATCCTCTATCCAAAACGGGTGTTTATGCTCAGGGGCAATCACGAACAAAGAGCCATAAACAAAATATACGGATTCTATGATGAGACCATGAAAGCATACGAAGACACACACGTATGGCAGATGATCAACGAAGTCTTTGACTTCTTCAGTATTGCTGCAGTAATAGATATGAAATACTTTTGTGTACATGGTGGCATTTCAAACAGAGTCACCCTTAACAAACTGAAGCGATACGACCGTTCAGAAAGAACGAAAGATGACGACATTGCCAATGATCTGTTCTGGAGTGATCCATTCAACAAGCTGGGCTGCTTGCCAAATCAAAGAGGCTCAGGAGTCCTCTTTGGAGTCGATATTGTAAAAAACTTCCTAATGCAAAACAACCTGGAGCTAATCATCAGGTCTCACCAACTGGTTCACCAGGGTCATAAATTCGATCTCCATGGCCTGTGTCTGACAATCTGGTCTGCGCCAAATTACATGAATAGAATCGAGAATCCAGGCATAGTTCTCTATATAGAGCCTGATAAAGAAATCAACGCCTCCTCCATGCACATCTACACAAGACCATTAAAGAAATAAAACAAACAAAATCCAGATCAACAAATTTCCATGCATAAACTAGCCCATGAAAAATGCAGCAGACACCCTAGTTCCCAAGAAAGCCACCAAGCACTCCTTTGCGCCTGAGACACTCGTTATGAAGAAAGATGCGACAAACTGTCCACTCTGGATCAACTACGACGGCCTCATCGTCCTTGAAGTCTTCTGTAAAAATAGCACTCCTGCTACTGACTTTCTGGTTGCCATTTCCGAGCCAGTCTCCAGACCTGAAAACATCCACGAGTACCAAATCACGGCCTACTCGCTCTACGCTGCCGCCTCAATCGGTCTGAACACCGATCAGATCACAAACACGCTCCAGCGATTCAGCAAAAACCACCTGCCTGCCTCAGTCAGAAACTTCATCTCAGATTGCACGCTCTCCTACGGCAAATTGAAACTCGTCCGAAGAAACAGGCAGTTTCTGATCGAGGTTGCTAACGAAAAGGTCTTTGAAACCATTTCGTCAGATGAAGTCCTCACAGCCTTCATCACAAGCAGGGACCCCGTGAATCTCGTCCTCGAAATCAGCCGAGTCGAAAGCGTCAAAAAGCGTTGCATTGAAATCGATTACCCCCTGATTGACGAATTCGATTACGCCTCAAATTCATCCCCCCTACAAATCGATCTCAGGCCGTCCTGTCACATCAGGCCGTATCAGGAAATCTGCCTGAACAAAATGTTTGGAAGTGGTCGAGCTCGCTCAGGAATCATCGTCCTGCCCTGTGGCTCAGGAAAGACGCTTGTTGGAATCACGGCAGCCTGCACGATCAAACAGTCCACCATTGTCCTCTGCACCTCTGCCGTGAGCGTAGAGCAGTGGCGCCAAAGCGTGCTCCAATTCAGCACAGTCTCCCAAACGAGCATCTCTCGATTCACGTCAGACCGAAAGGAGTGGTTTGAGACGCCTCAGGGCATTCTGGTTACGACGTATTCGATGCTCTGCTTTTCTGGAAAACGAAGCTACGAGGCCCAATGCATAATGGACAAAATCACAGTCCACGAATGGGGGCTGATGATTCTGGATGAAGTCCACGTTGTACCAGCACAGATGTTCAGGCGTGTAGTCTCAGCAGTGGCCCACCGCTGTAAGCTGGGTCTCACGGCCACGCTTGTTCGCGAAGATGACAAAATTGAAGACCTGAATTTCCTGATTGGGCCCAAATTGTACGAGGCAGATTGGCAGGATCTGAGTGAAAAGGGACACATTGCCCGGGTAGTGGGAGCAGAAGTCTGGTGCGAAATGACATCTGAATTCTACCGGGCCTATCTCCAACAGGATGCATCACGAAGACGAGTTCTTGCTACGATGAATCCAACTAAAATACAGACATGTGAATATTTGATCAAAAAGCACGAACAACGCGGTGACAAGGTCATCGTCTTCAGCGACAGTGTCTTGGCCCTGAAGGAGTACGCCGTGAAAATGGGGAAGCCCTTCATCTACGGCCCAACGAGTCAGACTGAACGAATGCGCATTCTCAGGCAGTTTCGGACAAATCCAAAGATCAACACGCTCTTCCTCTCAAAGGTGGGAGACACCTCAATCGATCTCCCAGAAGCCACGTGCCTGATTCAGATCTCATCCCATTTTGGAAGCAGAAGACAGGAAGCACAGCGACTTGGACGAGTCCTCAGGGCCAAGAAGCGCAGCGATGCCAATTTCAAGGCGTATTTTTATTCATTGGTCTCAAAGGACACTGATGAAATGCACTACAGTGCCAAGAGACAGCAGTTTCTGGTTGATCAGGGCTACTCGTTCAAGACAGTCGTTGGCATCGAAGAGGCGCAGCAGAATCCTGGTCGCCTCTACGCAACAAAGGCCCAGCAACGTGCTCTTCTTTCGAGCATCCTCAGCAGAGACCTCGAGAGCGAAGCAAGTGAGGATGCCGATCGAATTGGAAAATAGCAGCATTTTTCTACCCATGTCATTTTGGAAGAAACAGCCTGCTTCAAACAGTAGCACAACCATAGGCCCAGTTACGAAGCCATCTGATTCCAGCCAAGTTGCAACTCCACTTCCAGATGGATACTCCTGGAAATCAGTCTCTGATGCCACCTTGGTCTCTGAATTCCTTAGCATCAACTACTCTGATGATGATTCACTGATGATCTGTTACAGACCAGAAATGATTCGTGGCCTATTTGGTCTCTCTTCATTCAGGTCTGCCTACAGTTTGGGACTATTTCACAATCACAAAATGGTTGGATACATTTTTGGTAAAGAACACACTGTCACTGAAATAGGCAGAATTCTGGGAGTGAATTTCCTCTGTCTCGATCGAGACCATCGCAACCTGAAAATGGCACCACTTTTGATCACTGAATTAACACGCATATCCTATGCATCCAGCATCCACTACGCCATCTTTGCCAATGGAGAAGACAGGGGATTTGCATTTACAGCTCTCTCCTACTTCCACATGCCCCTGAATGTCCCCCGTCTCAGACCACTGATCCATATTCCAGGCAACTTCAAACAGAGACTGTTTTCTATTCGTAAAACAACTGCAATTGCAACAAGGGACAATCTGCTTGTTGCTGCTGAACTGCTTTCCAACTCAAATCAACGAATGCTCTTTTCTGAGTCATTCACCCCAGAGCAGTTTGTAGAAGAATTCACAACTCGCCCAGAATGCAACTATACGCTCTTCAACAGCACCACCTCTGAATTCGCCTCATTCTTCGTCCTGGACACAAAATGCCTCAAAACAGGCAACACATTCCGTAGGGCCTATTTGCACTACTTTTCTGGTGGCCCTGAAATTGTTGAAGACGCCCTTTGCTACGCCCAGAACACGCTCAACCTCGATCTGTTCGATGTCCTTGACATGGGCCGGAATGAGACTGAGATCATCGATCACTTTGGTTTCCTCCCTGGAACTGGTCACCTGTTCTACCACCTCTTCAATTACAGTGTGGGTCTAATTGGTAGATCCAGAGTCAATTTCGTACTATTCTAAATGGTAGTGATTATCAACTATTACCCTATTCAACAAATACCGTGTCTATTTCTACCATTGTCTCCCTAAACACCCTTTCCAGTCTCAACATGGCCTGACTCTTCTTATTCTGTATAACAACCAACTCCTTTGCAATTTTGATGTACTGAATCCACTTGAATCTACTCTGAGTTGTTGTATTTCTGTCTTCTGGATTCCTGGTAGTCTCAAACTTCGATTTCACCAAATCATTCGCATTGCTGTAGAATAACTTGTAGACGTACAACTTAGATGCGCCCCACGTCATCCAATCCAGAAAGAACATCAGCAGTTTCTTGTTGATCTTCCCTGGAAAGTGAAACATTATTGCTGTTCCATACGCCTTGAAATAGAGACTCGCCCTATGTGATGCCTCTTGATTCAAATACCCTATTCCTGGTGGAACATCACCACGTCTTGCGATATAAAATGGAATTGAGAAGTTGTGGCCCACCTCATTGATGGTGGTGTCCTCGAGTGGATCTCTGACGTCAGCCAGAATCCACATGTCTCCTCCATCGTGGATGAGTGCCGTAATTCCCGTAAACTGGGACGTATTGTCAACCAGAATTCTGACTGGAACTCGAAAGTGAATCCCAGCATGTGAAACTGATCCCTCCAGAACGGTGATGAAGAATACGGTGCAGTCCACTTCTGCCTCAGCCCTGCTTTGGATTCTTGCGAGACCCAGACAGAGTGGACTATCTGTGGTGAATGAGCTGTAGTCACCCATGTCAGCCCATGCGTCTTCATAAACGCGTATCTCTGCCTCTACGGTGCAATTTGCATTTGCTACGTGTGGATTGTAGTAGACTGGTTCTCCATTTCTGGTGAATTCCTGGTAGCGGTAGAATGTCTTTCCTGGTAGCTGCCTCACCTTCAGAAGCGTGTCATCGAGACGAGTGGCCGTGTAGTCGCCGTCTCCTGTTCCACAGCAGCCCATTCCACAGTCATCGAGATCCCTGTCTACGAAATGGACAGTTTGGCTCACCCCCTGGTCAGTGAAAACAGCCTTATGAATTGCGTAGGGGTAGTCATAGTATTTCTCAGGGTCATCAGCAGAAATGTCGTACATCACTCGACTGTACGCCAGTGGATACGTCAGAAACCCACTCGTCTTCAACTCGCCGATGTCAATGAACAGGCGCTTCTGGTGGAGGATTCTGAAGATGCTCAGGTGGTGGAAATCGTATTTGACGTAGAACGAGGCAGCCAGAAACTCGGACTTGAAGAACTCCACGATTTTGCTGCTTGCTTCTGCAACGAGCATGTCCGCCTCGATGTGAAACTGCCCAGAGAGCCTGAGCACCTTCGCCTCCGAATCAGAGCAGTCTGTTCCTGTCACGGTGTGGGCAATCACCTTCAGCTTCGGCTTCATCGCATTCTCCTTGAACTGATCAAACGGCCTCTCCTGTTCGAAATAGAACCAGCGGAAGAAGTCGGAGGTGCAAAGGAGACTCGTCTGAGTTGGTGGGCGACTGCCGTAGGAGGAAGAGAAGGAGAAGGAGAACGGGGCTGTGAGGGTGTCTGGGTCCAGGCAGAGGCGGAGTTCAGACCGAATTGTGAGGGTGTCTTCTGAGTTGATTTCGGTCACG